ATTTGGACTGGCGGGAGCCAATAGGACTTCAGGAAAGGTTGGAAGGGAAGGAGTTCCCATAACGGAGAAATATCTCCGTGATGTCTCGTGAAAGCTCGAGAGGGAACCACGTGTTTTTCGAAATTCCGTCAATAATTTTCGGAACGAAATCTGCGCTGCGTTTCTCGATAACGATTGATCTTAGCACTTAAGAGCGTTTTCTACGGGTCATTTTACGATCGTTCGTTATTGTTTCACGTGCATTTCCCAAAAATGCACTTAACGCAATCGCACGTAGCCGTGCTTTAGGTGCTTCTTAGGAGTCGCTATCCGTTTGTCAAGTGCTGAAATGTCACATTATAGAATGGCTAGTAATTGTAGTACACGCGCGTTTATTGAAATGTTATCTTAATCTACGTTCCAGACAACTCGGATATAATAACTATTATTGTATTATATTATATATTATATTATATTATATTTATACGTATTATATTATACTTTACATAATAATATAGCCTATAATATACTTTATATAAAAATATATTATATTATATAATATCTACATAGAGACGTTATTTCCGGGTCCAATACATTGGTTTTCTTGTACGTCAGTAAGTCATTGACAGATTTGAAGCATATTTACATTACTTATTTTATTCTATTCATTCTAATAATTATAATTATTAAATAATTCTGTTTATTATTTATTCTATTATTTTATTCTTCTTCTACTTTTTCTGCCCTTTTCAATTATTTAATTTATAAATTCATAAAAAAACGACTAATAAAGTGTATATTATACACTTTATATTATAATCACATTGCACTTGAATAAAGTTAAAGGTGTAATCTGCCGATTGTCCTGCAGGTGACCGCATAAATCTGTCTTCTTACGATGCACTGAGGCTTTACGATTACTCCAGAGCACTCGTAGATCTACGATGATTTTCAAGTGCTACTTAAGTTACGATGCTTTTGGGAAACAGACCGTAATATTAAGATCAGTCGTACTATCCTTTTTACGAACTTCTTAGGCTTACGAAGCTTTTGGGAAACGCAGCCCTGTTCAGTTCCTCTCGCTCAACCAAAACACCGATAGCCTACATCCGCCAACTAAAGACGCGTATTTAGCGCACAATTCGGAATAATGTTGAAATGCAACTTTTGTGGTTGCAGAAAGGTTGCTTGAAAACGCTATTTTGTGCAAAAATAATTGGTTTTCTTTTGGCTATAAGATTATGCAAAGCATTTAAAAATTCAGATTACAAGGTCAGGAATTTACACAGTAAGCCTTTATAAATGTTGTTACCTGTCCATCATCCATTTATTTAAAGCATTATTAAATACAGAAGGAATTTTAAGACAGCACAAAACTTTTTCTGTTTTTTTTACTTTCACATTATCTTATTTTCCCTGGCTAATTCATCAAGAGAAGCATATGGATATTTAGTTTATTTCCCTGAATCATCGGTGTAACAAAATATAAATAAAGCTCATTGTAATGCATGGCAACATAACCATACCAAAACTATTTTAGTACTATTCTGCAAACACAGAAAGTGCAGACTTAAACAAATTCCTAATACTGTATGATGCAGAATAAAAACATGTAGAGTAAAACATCCCTTTTACTGTTACAGAACAAATTCAGGAAAAAGTGTTGAATATGTAACAGATTAAAAGCAGCTTGTCCTGTTGATTTGTTCATATATGGCTGTTTGTTGATTGTTGTATCCATTTACTAATGCAAAACAGGATCAATTTAACTTAATGAAGAAGAAAAAAACATTCAGCACTCTTTAACAACCAACAATAAACAAACAAAAAAAGCTTTAGAATGCTATGTTCGACTTCCACAGACTGAAAACTACATGTGTTTATTAATGTATCTATTATTAACTCTCCAGATATCAGTGCTTGTGCTTGACTTTGGTCTTTTGCCATCTCTCAAGTGAGAGTAAGTCTTAGCACTCCTCTTTTCCAGCCATTCCAGCAGCTGTGATGTGAGTCAGCTGAGCAGAATGCTCCTTTGCTTTGAGACGCAGTGCTGCTATGCTGGAAGCGCGGAGGTCTACTGTTGGAGATGAAGGTAAGGGTGGTGAAGAGGCGAGAAGGTTGTTGGTGAGGTGGGAGCATTGAATTGTACCCTCTATGGCAGGAAGGGGTATCCTTTGCAGTCCCATTGGACCTAAACTTGTAAAAAGTCTGATGAGAAATGTAACATAATATTATAACCATTATGAAGTGTGAAAGGTACATATAAGGTAAAGATAAATAAACAATGGTTTGTGTTGAATATGCAGATGAACCTCACCTTCCAAAAGTGGGGTTAATGAAAGCGGGATGTCTAAACATGGCCGCCCCTAACAGAGCACTGAAGCCATGAGGGGAGGCAGGGTTTGGGGGAGGCTGAGCCAGTCTTTGGAGGGGGGCAGGCCAAGACGGATCAATAGCAGGATGTGGGTTTGGGACAAAAGTATTCCCACTCAGGTAATGACACAAGGACTGTGCAGCAGGGGGGGTTCCAGTATAGTGTAGGCTCAGAGTGTGTGACTGGACCCCCGCCTTTTCCCTTTTCCTCCATTTTGCTCGTCGATTCTGAAACCAGACCTTGAGAGGAAACAATGCTTTTGTCAATTACAAGTAGTTACGAGTTGTTGTTGTTTTTTAAATTGTACATTTAGTAAAGCAATATTGTCACACCAAGCTATTGTCTCCTTAAAGTCGCCATAAAAATTAAGGCCTGTTTTATAGACTAGTCTTAAATAGAATAATGTTTGGTATTACAAGAAATACAAGAATTTGTTTTATTTTTGCATCTCTGAGAATATCCGCAAAGGGACAGTCCACCCCCAAAAAAGAATAATTCTGCCATTTACTCACTCTCACAGTCTTTCTAAAGCTGTATGATGTTCTGTCTTAAATGAACACTATCAAAGTCAGTGTGGTCCAATGTTTGTCCAAAGGTTTTTGACTTTCATTGTATGGGGAAAAAACAGTTGAAATGTTTATACTTCTTTTGTAATCCCAAAGAAGATAGAAAGTCATACTTGGAGATTGAGTAAATGATGACAGAACTTTCATTTTTGGGTGAACTGTCCCTTTTAACAGAGTTGTTTACTGATGAAGGTAAAAGGGGGTCCAAAATATATATTTAGTGGAAATGTTAAGAGAAATTAGCATTAACACATTAGTAACTTTCTAGGCCAAAATGTGTGCAAGTATATGGCTTGCTTTAGTTTCTTAAAAAATAAGTAAATAAATAAATAAAATGCGATTCTCCAAAACAGCTAAATAAACGAACATCTTATCTTGTGCCATTTTCCCTGTTATATAAATCTGACGTAATATAACAGATTTACAGTGCTTTTTCCATAGGCTATATCGTACATTCGTTTACGAATGGCTGTATGTTTAATATGAATCTTATATTTTTGACAGCCTGTCGCGCATGAATTGTTGCTGGCTTAATGTAGAATTTTAATAATAAAAAATGCATGCAATATAAATGAAATAGAGTTAGCGGTGACCTTAAGAATTTAGAATTTTTTATGCTTCTTGTTGAGGTATGTTGTGCCCAGTCGTGAACAGTGAAAGTGAACAGATTAATAGTGAATAAGAAAGTGACTTACTTGCACTCGTGCTTCTGTAAGATCAAGTCTCATTGCTAATTCCTCCCTTAAATTAGAGAGAAAAAACAAGTAGTAGCCTAGGTCGAGTGTCTTTATCTCGATTTTTACTAAGATTGACAATGAATTTTGCTAAAATTTAAAAATATATATAGTTATTCGTTTACATTCTTGACAAATATACAAATTCTAACAGGTCCTGTGCTATTGAAACTGTTAGCCTAATGTAAAGGTATTGTAACGAAAAGAAGCAGCGACAAAAAAAAAGAATTAAAATGAAAAATAAATACAACTGATAAAATCCAAATTATTTTTGTAGGACTTTTTTTTCATTTTAGCCTATTCAATTTTCATATGGCTGATTTTAAAATACTAGTACTGAAAATTATGTTGTCTTGAAGATGTGACGGAACCATCAACGAATCAGTAATATATATATATACCGCTGCTTCATTTTCGTCTGTGTGAATGTCTCTGGAGGAGTCTGTCAACGGGGCGAAGGGGCGGCGGAGCTTCGTTGGCAGGTGCATGTCTGGTCGAAGGGGCCACAAACTGTTTGGTGTTGCTGTGAGCAAAAATAATTGATCTAAATAATTATCAACAGGATAAATTAAGTTAAAGATATGAATATTGAAAATCTAATTAAACTTCCTTTAGAATACTCATCTAATAGCCAGACCACTTGTAGTGTCCGGCTACTATAATTTAATAACCTGCCTGTTTCGTATTTAATGAGTAGCTTACGCTATAGCCTACTTGTAACTGCAAATTGTTATTGTAATTAATTATAGCTAATAGTAGGCTATGCAGTAGTTGATTCACGGACACTGTAATGAACTTAGCCTATTTCAAGTAGACCATTAAAATAAATTCTAATGTAAGGCAGTAGCTTCAGTTAACAATTGAAAACTATTGTTGAGTTTACAAAAAAAAAAGCAATTCACTGGACAATAGGCTAAGTAAAAGCAACTAAAACAGAAACACAAAATTAAAGAATAAACAACTAACCTTTAACTTTTAAGGGACTTTTCCTTCCTAGAATACTGTCGATGCAGTACGAGGACAACAGAGGTGATTTACATTTGCAGTTTGTTTGGTCTGGATTATCCCCCTCTGCTTCGTTGCTCATATCTCTGGCTTTCATGAAGGCTACAGAAACCAGTGATCCTTGGGCGCGCGTCCTGGTGCTCTCTTTGACTGGTCCTCGCAAAAGCTAGCGCACGCCGACCTTTGTACTGATGCTTCAGCTTCCAAAACTCAGCCACAGCATCTGATTGGTTCTCAGGTGAAAGGCTCTGCCTCATCAGACTGTGTGATTCAGTTGAAATATACTTATCGTTTTGTCTGAAAATTCGAACTTTTTTCAATTCTTAACTTATTTACACATTTAGCAGATTTCATAGTTACCATTACTACTTTAGAATGTCAATAATAATAATAATAATAATAATAGGCATTATTATTATATTGTTTGAATTTTGAATTATCAATATTGCTTGTATTGCTTATAACCAATTGTATTGACTAAAAAACCTACCGTTTGCGTGCACATTTAAAGAAGCAAAAGGAAAGAAAGAAAGAAAGAAATGAGAATACTATTCCAAAAACACAATTCTTTACCTGTCATAGATTTATAATTGTACATTGTGTTTTTAAAACCGGTTTAGTGTTGGAATTCGCTCAGTTCACTGGTCCTTGAGCGCCATCTACTGTGTATTGCTTTATTAAATTTGTATAAAACTATAGTTTATAGTTTTGTGTCAATCTTATATATTTTATCATTTAATCCATAGGTGCATTTAAAATAAAACACGTAAAAATAACATGGAACTATCTTTACATCGTAGTATTTATACTCCTGGTCACGGTCTCATTGTCACCATGGAAACAATACACAACTTTGTATGGCACAACAAAGAGATGTGAAAAATGGCAGCCAGGTACGAGGTAGCAGAAGAAGCCGTTGACGGTCCATATTACCTCGAGAAAGTTTTAATTCCAGAAGACTCTGAGGATGATTATAAATACGACGAAGTGACTGTCGACGACGAACTCAGCATACCTGAGGGGGAAGAGGACTTGGAAACTGCTGTTAAAGCAGTGCGGGATCAAACTGATGCCACCGAACGCACAACACAGACTCAGAGGGTCAGTTCGGCGAAACATCCAGTTCTTAAAATACCTGAGGTGGTGGACGACTTTCTCCGCAATTATCTGGTAAAAATGGGTATGAAAAGAACATTAGGATGCTTCCAAATCGAGTGGTTTGAGATGGGGCACAAAGGCTTAATGAAAACAGACGTAATGCAACTCGTCCCTGATGTCTATACACACAACCAGCTCCTGGACAACGAGCTGAAAAACGTACAGAGAGAGCGGGATAGTTATAAACAGGCTGCATTTGAAGCTGGAGAAACCATAGTAAAACTTCAAAGAGAGAGGGACTTCCATAGGATGCAGCACAAGCGTGTTGTTCAAGAGAAGAATAGACTTATTGAGGACATTAAAAAGCTGAAGAAACACTATGCATCCTACGATCCTGCTCTTAGACAACTAAATGAGAAGTATCAGACAGTTGTGAGGCAGAAGATGCTGGTTAGTCTGGAGAGAGACAGAGCTGTCAGCCAGGTTCAGAACATAGACAGCTCTCTACGTACCGCACATTCTTTCCCAGGAACCCGAACAGCTCTAAAATCCCCTAACACACCACATCAAAGAGAAAAAATACAGAAGAGTCCAGAAAAAGGTGCACACCTGTCATGTGACAACATTGCATCAAATGATGTTATAAAAGACCCCAACAAAAACACGAGGCATCCTAAAGACTCTGAATTCCCAGCCAGCACTCGAGTCAATCCCTACTTGCCGCAAATCCAAGCTCTTTCCTCGCTAAACACCAAATCAGCCAACTTCTTTCTCTTCAGGTCTTTTAAAGCACACACAATGGCAGTGAGCTTCCTCACTCCCCATCCTCGTAAAATGATAGTAGCCTCCTCAAGTGATGACCAGCTTTGGAGATTATGGGGAATACCAGAGGGAGAGATGATCATGACTGGCAAGGGTCACACTGATTGGCTGTCATCCTGTAGTTTCCATCCCAGCGGTGGTTACCTGGGGACCACAAGTGGGGACACCACAGTTAAAATTTGGGACTTTGCTCAAGGTCGATGTGTGCTCAGTTTGGAGGGACACATTCACACCACCTGGGCCTGTTCCTTCCATTCCTGTGGTGATTTTGTGGCCTCTTGTTCTTTGGATAACACGGCTAAAGTGTGGGACTTGAATAGTGAGCGTTGCCGCTGGACTCTGCGTGGACATGTTGACTCGGTGAACAGCATTTCTTTCCTGCCCTTCTCAAATATTCTACTTACCTGCTCAGCAGACAAGACCCTCTCTCTTTGGGATGCCCGTGTTGGATTGTGTGCCCAGACTTTCTACGGGCACAAGCATTCATGCAACTACGCAACCTTCAATGCCACAGGTGACACAGTTGCTTCGTGCGACTCTTTTGGGGTGGTCAAATTATGGGATGTGAGGAATGTGTCAGCAATGGTGACCATAGACACTGGGCCGCATCCCAGCAATCAAGTGGCCTTCAATCCAAATGGAAGAATTCTAGTGGTGGCGAGTAATGATGGCACTGTTAAACTAGTAGAAGTGGCGTCTTTACAAATGTCGAGTGTAATAGCTCATGAAGATGCCGTTCAGAGTGTCATTTTTGACCATAAAGGTGAATACCTTCTATCTGCAGGCTCTGACGGTGCAATTCACATCTGGTCATAACAATATATATTTACAGTGCTTGAGAAATGGTTTTCAAATTTAAATACATTCTGACATTATTGTTATTAATAAATAAACATGTATTTGTTCAAAAAAATATGTTTCCTGTACACAAACCTCTAAATTCTAGAACAATTTTATAATAAGATTTAAATAACTAAATTAAACAACTATTAAAAGCAATTACTTTTTTTCCCCCAAAAAATATTTAACTTTTTTTTTTGTGCATTGGCACTTTACATTCACAAGCATAAGGGAACCTTTATTTACTTATATAATAATCATAAATGTAGACAACAGTTAATTTATTCTATGTTCTTATTATTTAATTTGTCTTCACCCATTTTTTTAAAACCTGCTCTCAGTCTGTAATTACATATTTTCCCATGTTCCTATATTTTTTCTATATTTCCTATATTTTTTAATTCAGCCCATTAAAAATGTAAAACCCCTTGTAGCAAATAAAAATCTGATACAGCTTTTCTCCTTGGTAGACTAGTTATTTTCACTGCAATGTGTATTTACACTACCTGTCAAAAGTTTGGATTCATTAGGATTTTTTAATGTTAATGATTTTTAGTTAGTCAATTTTTTTGTCTCTAAAGCTACAAAAATACAGTAAAATTCCAGTAAAACAGTAAAAAATTATATTGTGAAATATTATTACAATTTAAAATAACTTTTCTATTTGAAATGTAATTTATATATGTGATGGCAAAGCTGAATTTTCTTTACTCCAATTACTCCAGTCTTCAGTGTCACATGACTTTTCAGAAATCATTCTAATATGCTGATTTAGTTCTCAGAAAACATTTCTTATTTTGATCAATGTTTACAACTTTGATACACTACCGTTCAAAAGTTTGAGGTAAGATTTAAAAATAAACAATACTTAAATTCAGAAAAAGATGCATTAAAAATAATTAAATTCAAAAGTAACAGTAAGACATTTATAACGTTACAAAAAATTATTATTTCAAATAAATGTTGTTCTTTTAAACTTTTTGTTCATCAAAGAGCCCTAAAACGTATTATGGTTTCCACAAAAATATTAAGCAGCAAAAAACAGTTTTCAACATTGATAATAATAAGAACAATACTAACCGATAATAATTGAGCACCAAATCAGCCCATGGATATATCCATGAAATCCCTTTTTTTAAGCTTAATATACAATACAGATTGTTTTTATAGCAGCTTCACAGTATTAAGCAGGAAAGTGACAGAATCAATTATGCAAACGTCAAAAAAGAGCCAAATCCAGCAGAGCAGCAGTAGCAGAACAATCGTGTTATTATTCAATTCAAGTTTATTTGTATAGCGCTTTTCATGATACAAATCGTTGCAAAGCAACTTTACAGAAAATTACGTTTCTACAATATTTAGTAGTATCTAATCAGTGGTGACTTTCAGTTAATGTACATATGGCAGAAATGTACAGAAAAATAAATTAAAGACGTAATCAAACAGACGATGAACACTATTTACAGCAATCAAACTTATACCAAAAATGTGGTAGTTCTGTAAGTTGTTTCAGGGTTGGCATCATCTGAGGTCCTCTGAGGGGTTGCATCATCTCTTCTCAGGTGTTCTGGATCCAGACTGAAGCTTGTGTAAATCCTAGTTACCACGGGATGTCAATCAGAATCAGTGGCAGAAACAGAGAAACAAATAGAGACATAATTAGTGTAGCTGCTGTTCCAACCATATTTAGTAGTAGCTAATCAGTGGTGACTGTCAGTTAATGTACATATGGCAGAAATGTACAGAAAAATAAATTAAAGACGTAATCAAACAGACGATGAACACTATTAACAGCAATCAAACTTATACCAAAAATGTGGTAGTTCTGTATGTTGTTTCAGGGTTGGCATCATCTGAGGTCCTCTGAGGGGTTGCATCATCTCTTCTCAGGTGTTCTGGATCCAGACTGAAGCTTGTGTAAATCCTAGTTACCACGGGATGTCAATCAGAATCAGTGGCAGAAACAGAGAAACAAATAGAGACATAATTAGTGTAGCTGCTGTTCCAACCAAGCAAAATTGATTTGTTTTAAACCAAGCTAAAGAATAATAATGTGCATTTGATCAAATATAACTGCAGTACAAGATTATGAGATGCATTATTTGAATGCTTGGCCAAAGAGATGTGTCTTTAATCTAGATTTAAACAGAGAGAGTGTGTCTGAACCCAGAACGTTATCAGGAAGGCTATTCCAGAGTTTGGGAGCCAAATGCGAAAAAGCTCTACCTCCTTTAGTGGACTTTGCTATCCTAGGTACTACCAAAAGTCCAGAGTTTTGCGACCTTAGGGAGCGTGATGGATTGTAGCGAGGTAGAAGACTAG